AAAATTGTCCCATATCATAGGTACGCGCGGATCCCAAGGCTTACGGTCTCCGTCCCCGATTATGGCTCCTGTTGATAGTCATTGATTTCAATATTGTCACCTGGAGTGATTTGGAAGCAATTCAGCCATTCCGTCTTTGACACACTCTTGCTTTGATCCTTATCACACTCTTGAAGGAAAGCTATCTGGCACACTCTTGAACCTCGCAGACTCCATCTTCCCGTCACAGCTTCGTTGTAGTGAACCAAACCATCTCTGTTTTTATCCAGTCGTTGGAATACCCACTGCAAGAAAATCCCAGCTGTTTAGCGTAGGTGAATGTTTGTGCCGTTTAACAGCAGAGTGGCATAACATTAGGAGCACGTGGTTCACTGAGATCGACTCGGATAATTAACATGTAACAACATACCAAGATCGAAATATTAACAAAAAGGAAATTTTTGATCTGCCTTCTTTTATTCTAAGTTGATTTGAAAGTAATGGCAAAATTCAGGCTTCATTGAAAAAAGAAGTAGCGTGGGAGACATATTTACTGTATCAATGTAAGTCTTTGTTGTAAAAGAGCGGGAACTACAGACTGGGCCAACAGGGGCGTGCTAAATATTTTTCTTTTAATATCTTCAATTTTGTCAAATACCCTAAATACTTAAAAAGATTTGTTTAGTGTGCGAACCAGCACTTATTCCTTTAGAGGAACTAATATTCTAACCCTGCCTAAAATATGTACAACTACTTATGGCCTTAATTCTTTTAGTTAACGGGCAGCTAAATCCTGGAATGCACTTCCAAATCAATATCGCACTGTTACAGATTTTAACACCTTCTGCAAATTAATATTGTCCTTTATTATATGGCTCTGTCTCAAAAGGACTGAGAACTACCAAATTCAAGAATTTGATTGGCTGAAATCAATATTGAAAGCGGTCTAGATTTTTCCATCTAGACCGACATCTAGACCGGTAATGTTTCACAGTGAAAAAGTTGCAAAATAAAATGAAAAATCATTTACTATTCTCTTCTAACAATATATATTTATGGAAGTGCCAAGAAGCCTGATGAGAAGAAAAAAGTAAAGAGGACGAGCAAACTTAGGCAGAATTAAATTCAGCTCATCGCCGTTCGCAAGCAAAATGTCAGTTAGTACAAACCAGTTACATTAAACGAATTAAATTGTTTTTGTTTGCCGTATAATAAACGTCTTATTAACCGAGCTAGTCGGTCTGTACGGAAGAATCTTTACCTCGGTCATGTGTACAGACCTCACTGCATTCGGTCTGTACTCGGTCAAGATTCTCCCATATATACAGACCTCCTGCTCGGTTAATAAGAGCTAGTAATATTCCATAAATTTATCTGTTTTGTTCTAATTTGTCTTTCATTCTTTCTAATTTCTAACATAATGTAGCTCGAAAAAATTAGCAGCGATTCTTCTCGGTAAATTCAAGGCTAAACAAAGTTTATGATTATAATGACGAGGTCTAAAGAGACCCTGTTAAAATCAATTATTTTTCAAATGTTGAGAGAGAGAGAGCATGGTCCATTTTCCCCTCTTTTTAAAATGTTTTTATTCATGACCAAAGAGATCAATTCAAATCACAGGCTCAATCTGCCACTCACCCCTGTGAGCCTTCTTTTGAAGTTCCGCTGTTTTATTAACCAATCTCTTTTGTTGACTCCCACGAAGACAATTCTGTCCAGAACTCGCTTTTGAAGATCTTCAGTGTATTTGGAGGGGAAGTTAGACAGCTCATCACTTGGGCATCCATTGGCGGCTTTGGTATTAAAGGAAGCAATCGTATTGACAAGGTGCATTCACCATGAAAAAGAATCGGGCGTAAGAAACCGTCAACAGCAAAGAGACATTATGACTTAAAGGTCCTTAACCGTAATTGAACATGAATAATTTAGGCACAATTTGAAGCATGGTAGCCATAATTGGAGCATCAGGCATTATAAAGTAGTAAAAATGCTATTTTATGTCTACTTGAGCAACGATCAGACTTTATGACTAAGCGTTACATGAATTTCCTTAGTAACCAATGCTATTTTCATACGACGCATACAAGGCTCATTCATTTTAAAACAGTATATTATAAGTATTATCCCAGCAAAGCTAAAAAAGAACCCGTCAACAACAACAACACCAGAAAATTTGCTGTGGAGCGCGGGAAATCATCGTTTGTTGCGGCCGTCCTGTCATATCTTGTATGACAAGACACGTGCCCCAACCGGAGACGAAGAAAACGTCACAATTTATATCAAATCATGTATTGTCTATGCAAGTTGCGATCTACTCCGGCACAATTGGCTAAATTGACAAATTGCCTGAGCTAGATAATTACATAGTGTGTCCACGACCAAAACACTGCCTGCCCGGGGGACGTACTCCCAGAAATTCGGGTGGGAGTATGCGGCCCAGACCACAACCTCGTCCCCAGGGCCTTCTCCACTTTTCAAAATCCGTGATTTTCCCTACCCTATTTATAGTGGTACTATGACGAAAATCGCGTCTTTCCTATCTAAGCCATTTTAAAACATATACAAGTAGTCTGTACGAGAAGAAAAACGCTGTTTGCTATTTTTACATATCTCTTTTCGTTCCAGAGATATTCAAATTTTTAAAATATGCACATAAGCTAAGCGATGACGTCATAAACTCAACCGGATTTTGATCAAATATGATGAATAAAGATACCTCAGCCAATTTGAATCAGAAATATTTGATTCTTGAGAGCATGATTCTACTGGAGATGCTCCACAATATAAACCTAGCATTGTTGTTACCATGACAACATACATACTGCGCTATATTGATATTTGCTAATGGTTCCTTGTCTGCATGATCCACCAAACTTATAAATAAGTTAGTTCGAGTTCATGGCCTTGTTTAATGTTTTTTGAGCCAAAAATCACTAAAATATTGAAATATGGTTGGCAGGGTCTGGGAAAGAGCGAGTTGCCATAGGAACTGAAATTTTTATAGCCATAGGTGTGTTGCATTGCATGTGGAACTAAAAGCCTATTAAGTGCCAATGGTTTCTGTCGCAAATTGACGGAGATGGCTCTATTTATATTCTTGATTTAATATTTGCTTGAGTGTTTGACGTCATCATTCCTTTCTTTTGCATATTTTAAACAATTTTTAAACTTAGATATCTCCAAAAACCAATGCAGATATTTGCAAACAGCAAAAGGTGTTTTTAATCTTTCTTGGAATTCTATGTGACTAGTCTAAAAATTCAAAGGGTAAAAATTGATCATTGTACCACTTTATGACCTGACCAAAAATTCGAATGACGAAAAAGTAGCTTCTTCTAAAAACGCAACATACCCAATTTAAGACAAGAGTGAAAAAGCCAAACTCTATTTGAAACCAAACTACCAAACCGACCAAAATCGATACTCTATTTCTGACCAAAGCGGGTAAAAAGCCATACCCTTTGGGGTCATGGGGCCGCACATACCTATATAGCCCATATAATGGAGTATTCCCCTTCCCCTGGGACTGCCTGACATATGTTACAGTCTTATTTACCTCTCTTTCCTCTCTTATCCGCCGGCAACGAAAGAACCTAGAAGAGAAGTAAGTTTTACCATTAAAAGGTCAGCTCGGAGCATACTCAAACATGAAACAGAAGAGCAATAAGATGACAATACACGCACTGTTATGATTGAGTGCAATCTTGAGCATCGTGAAATCAATATGAGATTCAATGTAAGCCTAAACTGCCGGCATTATCAGTGAACTGAGTAAAAGGAAGAGAATAGATATCATCACGTATACTTGGGGAGGTTTTCTCATAAGAATCCTTAAAAAAGTACACTTTTAGAGCACTTGAATCAGCCACACAACACGTAGTTTATGTTCTCTCAAAGCTCAATGCTAAAGTCCTTGTGGCGCAGCAATTAAATTTCGCATCTTCGTAACAAAGGATGTGGCTAGTTACGAGAATGAAGAAAGATGTCTTCAGAGGCAAAAAACAATATGAGATGTTTAAAGGCGAAATGGTACGAGTACAGCAATAAACTTCTTAATCAACTTACCGTCACTGTCAACAACCAGGCCAGACATAGAATATGAATTGCAAACTTCACCATTGCAATCAAGATATTAAATGCAACGCTCCGTTTAAAGCAGCGACCTTTATAGCAATAGATATTTGATACAGAGCCAAACTGACAAGAACGCGACTTCAGCTTTGCTCTCCAAATAGGAAGTGGACTTCTGATACGTGCAGCAAAGTTCTGGCCCCCTGTCACGTAACGCTACCGCACTCTCTCCCACAAAGTATGAGGAGCTGCCCTCCCTATATATGTACGTGCAGCGCCGAAGAATACGGTTTAAGGGATTTCGGATAGATTTTTTTGTCTCAAGCTTTGCATTCTGGTCTGGAAACTAGAACGTTTCGAAAAAGTCTATTTCTGCGCCTCATTAAAATCTGAAATTTGAAGTCCATTTAAAAGTTTTTCTCACTTAGGGCCATTTTTGTTCTGGCAAATCACATTTTTGTGGCTGAAACAAGGTAACGATTTCAAGACATACACCGGACTTTCCGCGATATCAGACAGATGTGATTAAACACAGTCGGATGAAGCCCGTCAAATGATGACCCCGTGCTTGGCTCAAGCTGAAGTTCCATATTAAGCTATATTTGTACCCGATCCTATGATATTCAAAACAGATATTGATGGGCCTTGCAGTTGAGAAGCATTATGTAATCATACTTTGAGATCGAGCACACTTAAATTATTTATGAACATCAGCAAACTGCCGCCTTTTGCATAGAAGTAAAACACTTGTACACCACCATATAAAGGTTTAGATGGCGGAGTCCAGAAACTTAGCTTGAGGATGAAGAGTTGAGCCCATTTTATTTCTTTGCGCAAATTGCTACAATCAGTTTTGCATAATGTCACCAAAAACTCCACTTTGTCTTATTCGCTGGTGGGGGAAGTGGGGCGCTTAAGGGGATCGGGCGTAGTTCTAGATTACGTTTCACACACACACACACACACACACACACACACACGCACGCACACACACACACACACACACACACACACAAAGAACACGTCCTTTTACAAATGACAGAAAATAAAGTGAGAGTTTCACGTTTTTGACATTTTTGGAAGGTGGGTTTTAATCAATCAATTTTAATTTTTAAGGCCTTAAATGGTTTAATTGACTGGGATTTTAATTTTTCTAGTTTTAAAGATATTCATGGGTATAATACGAGAAGTGAAGACAACATTTGTGAGCCTCCATCCCGTCGCTCCTGGGGACAAAAGCGTTTTATTTACAATGCCGTTAATGAATGGAACACTTTACCCGATGAAGTTAGGAACAGTATCAGTATTTTTAATTTTAAATGTCGAATTAGGGGTATTTCTTGATTTTTAATTATCATTTTTTTTACTGTTTTTTATATTTCTATTAGTACAATGGTTAAATGTTATTATTATTTTTAATCTACTATTTCTTTAGCTTTTGCAATTTTAGTTATGCAGGGCCCCACTGAAAACCACATGTATGTGAAGTGGGCTCCCTGTTGAAAGATCTTTATTATGATTATATTATCATTATTATTCTTGTTATTTATCTTTCTTCCTATATTTTTAATTCTAAAAGAGCACAAATCAAAGATGGTTGTTGTTGTTGTTTGGGTCTAGGTAAAATTCACGAACGTGACATAAAAAAATATTCCCTTTCACGATTCACATGGAGGGAGGCATTTGGAGGGTCCTTTTCACGTTTCGGAGGTAAAGAAAAAAAAAGACTATTAACGGACCATTCACGTATTCAACCTTTGCGCTCCCGTCTATTGAAACTGATCGTCCATTTGTTTTGTTACATAAACGAGAGAAAACAACAGTTATGTATTAGTTGAAAGCGATTAATGTATTTTTTTTTTAAAATTGTCTACGAGCGGATATTAAATCAAACAGTCCTACGGTTCCACCAGCAACCCACGTGCACATCTTGTTTTAAGAGTAAATTCTGCTTCCTGCCCTTCATCTACCGTATGTCCGGCACATATCCTTGATATTGTAAAACAATATGCCAATTTGGCACGTTCTTCATCTGGTTTTATTATTTTATTATTATTTTTGTTTGTAAAAATTAAATCTATAATGTCATTAGAACCCTCCTTCCATGTTTAGCTTAGATTTCTCTCGTGCCAGCAGTGTGCCTAGAGCCCGGCGTATTTATCTACCCATTATTTCTTGATAGACTTTTTTCGTTATTTTGACCCTAGTTTCTGGGACACTGTTGGCACCAGATTTCAGCATGCATATGTTCTCTTGAACGTGCCTGAAGGGATCCTTTTTGATTTTTAAACTTGTATAACAGATAAAGTTACATTGCTAGCAGCGTAGGGTATTCTTAATGCCCTCTATGAAAACAGTTTACGACTTAGTAAGAGAATACTGTCAACAGACAAAGGTCAGTACTACAACAGCAAAAGTCTTTGATCATCAGCCCTGAAAGGGAACTCATGAAGTCTCTAGCCTCTCTAAAATGTGGCACATTGAAATTTTCAAGTCACCGAGAGTACTATATTTGGAATACATGCACTGACCGCCGCGTCACGTTTTTGTCCTTGTGGTTTTTGGTCTCTGCGTGTGCGTTTGTTTTTTTTGTTTTTTTTTTTTGTGGTAAACATTGGCCATATCAGACAGGAATAGGTTTATATGGGTTTTCGATATTAAATTCTGACTTGGCTCCGCGGCTTAGGGAATTGAATAAAACGAAAAAAATCCCACAAGTTTAAGGGGAATATAAATAAATAACATAAGATAAATGACATCATTTCCCAAAGCCTGGGAGAAAATTGCAGCCTGTCTATCTACCGCTCGCCATACTCAGGCATCTTGTAGTCCCCATTGCGGCGGCTTATCCGGGAATAACACCGAACGTCGGTCGATTAGACAGACATGGATATGATATGGTGAAATCTATAATATGGCCGGTTTTCGTCAAAACTGTAGTTCCTCTGTTTAACTGACATTTAAATTGTGTTGTTTTCCTGCGCCATTGTTGTCAACATTCAGAACTGTAGATCAGATGAAAACTTTTGTTACCTTGCTTCCAGAGAAAGCTATGAGGGGAAAAATGTGTACTTTTTTGCTATTTCAATATTCTCCAATCGAGAGCCATCTGAGCCGCCTGTTAACACTAATTAACCTTGGTCATATTTGGCTTACGCGTCATTCCATTCAGATATACGGGTTGTTTTATTGACTTTTTGCTATATAGTCGTAAAACAAAGTAAGGAAAAACAAGTGAATCTTTTTTTTTATTTTCACTTCTTTGTGCACACTACATTAACTATATTAGCTTATATTGCTCTGATGGATTTACTAATTTTGAACTGAGCCACTCTACTTTGTAAACTTCTCGTCGCCTAGTCGAAGCCGATAACAGTTGCCCGACATGCCTTTTTCTTGTCCACCGGCCTGACCTCCACGCGACTCAGTGCCACTAGATCGATTTTCTCGCAGCCTTGCGTTACAATTGGTGATGCTACGTAACGTTATTCATCAACTTCAGTTTTTCAGTGATTTTGTTGATTGCTTTATTGTATGTTACAAAACAATATGGGCGATCAGTTTCACACGGATGAAAACGCAAAGGTTGAATACGTGACTATGAAAGATGGCGTAAAAAGTATTCCCCACGATTTGTTAATGGTCTTATTTTGTTTTCCTTTGAAACGTGACATGGCTCATTTTTCAGCGTGTAATGTGATCTAGACGCCCGCCGCCTCCAAATGTGTCCTTTTTCTCAGAAAACGTGAAAACCACGTACTTTACTTTCCGGTAATTGGCCACGTTCGATATACCAGTCAGTTCTAACATGGCTCCGAGACTTTCAGGGCAAACTTCTATATTTCGTCGTGTTTTCTATTTATCCAAGCCTTTTTTGGGAATTGCAAGTTTGAACCGAAAGCCTCGGATCCATGTTAGAATATTGATATATCGAACGTGGCCTGTTGCAAAGGGACGTATTTTTTTAATGTTACGTCTTGATTAAGACTCGCCCCCATGTCTGTATTTTTTCGTGAAACGTGAACTGCACGTTCACTTCCCATCAATTATGAAAGGACATATCGTTTTTCTTTCGTGAAAGGTAATCTTGACCCCCGCCCGCTCACACACAACACGATCTCCAAGGAGTCTCTTTCTTGACGTAATGCAAAACTGGCTGTAGCAAATTACGTGCATTTCGCCGCAACTCACAGCCTCAAAGAAATGAAATAGCTTAGAAGGCTGGACTCTTCATCCTAAAGCTAGCAGAAACTGCTTTAATTGTGCACAAATGTTTTTACTTTAAGGTGGGAGTTTTTTTATGTTCCTAAATGTGTGTGTTGTCGACATCGATTCGATCGTAAAATATGATTAAATACTTGTCAAGTACAAAACCATCGATATTCGTTTTGAATATCAAAGGATCATGTACAAATATCGATCTTGAGCTTGAGCCAAATACAGGGTCATCATTGACGAGACCTGCTTAAACTCGTGGAAAGATTATAATTGCTTCAGCAGTCTACACGCTGTTTTGATAAAAGCACCTTTTAGCTTTACCTGGAGGGAGAGCAGGGAAGTGGGGAGGGATACATATGTGCGATGTGTGCGGTGTGTGCAGTGTGTGTGGCGTTTTTCTTGAAATCGTTGCCTTATTTTAGATCAAAATATGAGATTTGCCGTGCACACCCTAGACCCAGGCGATACCCTATTCCAGACCTCTAAAATTAATGTAGGTCAAAAAATTAATGTGGGTCTCTTACACATGATCTAGTAGGCGAACCAGAAAAGGCTGGTAGGCGGGCGTTAATGGGGAAAAAATGGCTTCTTCCCACATTTCAGACCAAAATAATCTAAATCAATACACTATTTCAGATAGAAGGCGCTCAAAAATCTCCTAATTACGCACATACATATCTTATTATACTTAAAGTAGAGGGAAAGAACCCCTCCCCCAGAAAAGTTCTTCTCATTTTATGAAAAAAACTTGTGAGAGAGCGTGGCGTTGCGCTACAGAAAAGGGACCAGAACTGCAACTGAACTATCTTATCACTTGATAAAAGATTATGCTTTCAGACTTCCACTTCCACCAATGGAGAGTATCCAGTCGCTTTCTTGTCGGTTTGGACTTACACTCAGTCAATTGGATTATTCGCTCTCGATTTCTTTGCGTGGTAGTTAACTCAGGCTGCCTCTTCATCAACTATCACGTAATAGAAATCTGGAGCTCATACTCTAATTGTTAAAAAGCCATTGTCATGATA